AACATTGATTTTTTAAAATAAAATGTTCTTTATTCTCCCTCTGTTCATCCTTCAAGCTAGCTTCAAGTGACACTTGTGCATAAATGCTCTAAGCCCTTGCCTCCTGTAAGCTCTTCTGTTAACTTGTTCTTTTTACATACTTATAACAAAATATGATTTATTTAACAAACTTTTGAACCACCATATGCCAGGTGCTGTGTGAGGAGCTGGAATAGTCTCTGAAGATGAAAACTGTTACTTATGTTAGGTATCTCTTATTTGCATATGATTGGAATTAAATGATCAAGTTCTTTCCCCCAACTCTGGTCTCTTCGTTTTCTAGTTAATCTATTTTATTTCTTCACAATGGCTTTTCAAAATCACAGGTCTGGTCTTATAACTATCTCAGAAAACTTTCATTTTAATCTTTAAGAGGACATAGACCACTTTCCAAATGTGAATTCAACCTTGCTTTCCTATTCTTTTACTGTTCTAACCCCTCCTTGCCTATCCCTACTGCTTCCTGATCCTCTTGGTGCAACTTACTGTCTATATAACCTCAGACCATCCATTGTTCTCAGCCTGTGCCATCTCCTTTCTCATTTCTGTTTGTATATGCACTCCCTTCAGCAGTTAAATGCCACCTTCTTTTTTTTTTTAGTTTGAAATAATTTTATCTTTTTTATTATTATTACAGTTTATTATTTTTTAAAAATATTTATTTATTTATACATACAGAACTGGGATACAGGCCAGAGGTGCAGGGTGGTAAGAGGATTCACCAGAGACAGAGTGGGGAGCAGAACAGGCAGATCGATGAAGGACACTGCTGAGGGGAGCAGCGGGCGGGTCAGGAAAGGTCTGCCACGCCATGTGGTCACCTCCGGGGCAGGCGGGGATCGAACTCATGCTGCAGTGGCTTTAGCTTCTTAGTGCATTGCTTTAACCCGCTGCGCCACCAGGGAGGGCCTATTACAGTTTATTTTTATATTATTTTGTACATTTTTTTTTCCATCTCAATTGTAATCCCCATGGGTTTCCCATCACAAAGTCACCCATGTGCCATCACCATAGTTCAGTGCACTTCCCTCCCCCCACCGTTATGATTCCATTCCCCACTCCACCCCCATAAAATGTCTCTGGTATATGGCTGTTCGTTATTCTTGTTATTTTCTCGCCTGGTCCATTATACTCCTGCTATGAGTGAAACCATCCGGTATTTTTCTTTCTCTTTCTGGCTTATCTCACTAAGCATGATCTTTTCCAGCTCCATCCAAGTGGCTGCAAAAGACATGTGTTTCTCTTTTTTGGTTGCGAATAATATTCCATTGTATATATGTACCACATCTTTTAAATGCAGTCATCTGCTTTTGGGCATTTGGGCTGCTTCCATGTTTTTCCAATTGTAAATAAAGCAGCAGTAAACATGGAGATGCAGGTATCTTTTTCAATCAGTGTTTTTTTGTGTCTTTTGGGTAGATACCTAGGAGTGGGATTGCTGGGTCGTAGGGAAGCTCCATGTTTAGCAGTTTGAGGAACCTCCAAACAGTTTTCCATTGTGGTTGTACTAGTTTGCATTCCCACCAGCAGTGCAGGAGAGTTCCTTTTTCTCCATAACCTCACCAACATTTGTTGTTGCTAGTTGTTTGAAAATGTGCTATTCTCACTGGGGTGAGCCACCTTCTTTTTTAAAGCTCTGGGTCTAGAAATAAAGTATTTGCTTCCAGAGATTCCTGCAATTGCCTTTTCTTGAGCACAGATCAGAATACAGATTTATTATAATTCTGCTTACACTTAAACCACCATCTCACTTCACTAGAAATGTGTTTACTACATGTACTGTGAATGTTAATTCTTTGACAATGAAGGCATATTGTACTTTGAATGAGTAAAGGGTGAATTTTGGTGCTCACACTCACCCATCCCCAGTAATTACTGTTTCTGAAACTTGGAGGAGGGTGTCCAATTTAAGACACATTTATGCTTTTAAACTTGACTATTTCCTCCTTATGGTCAGCTTGATGCAAGAATTGGTTTTAAGTTACAGTAAAGCGCTTATACAGAGCCAGGAAGAGTTCTCCTGAAAAATCTTTACTAATATCCTACATGGTGTGAAAAAAGTCTGTGACCAAATGGGAGTTTTAATCTGCCTTGGAGCTGGCTGCTAGCACTTCATCTATTCCTCTCCCTTTTATCAGTATCCTTTTTCCAATTTTATCAAATTAAAAAAAAAAAAAACTTTTGGTGGGGATATTATTCAAATACATAAATTCATTTTAGAAGCTTAGTGTAATTAATATATATAGGGGAAAAAGGGGGCCTCATTGGTGGCACCAGAGGTGGCACAGTGCTATGATGCTGCCCACAATCACTGCAGCACAAGTTCGATCCCAAGCCAGGGAGCTCACCCACATGGCAAAACAGACCTCTCCTGTTTTGCCTGCAGCTCCCCTTAACAGTGTATTTTTGTAATCTGCCTGTTCTGTTCCCCACTCTTTGTCTCTGGTGTATCTTCTTACTCCCCACACCTCTGGTCTGTACCCTAGCTCTTAGAGGCCTAAATAAACAAATCTTAAATATATATATATATACACACACACACACATGTAATTTACACAAAATACACACATACAAAAATAAGCCTAGTTTTGCTTATGCTTCTTTAAAAAAGTTGTTCATTATTACGGCCTCACAGCTGTTTTTCTTGTAACCTGGGCATTCTCTTTATGTTATTTGCAGATAAAAGTTATTCATAAATTAGTGTGATCTTTGACACATAAATTGTCAGCCTGATGGCAGTATTAAAATATAGTGATATAGTTTGCAAAGGGCCATCTGTTGTCTAGACCTTGCTAAAAATAACAGCTTATATTGCAAGCAGTTTTTCTCCAAAATAAATCTTTCCAACAGGTCTTTGAATAAGCTAATTTTATTATAATGTTGATGAGAAAAACAATCCTGGTAAAAATTGAAAATAATGATATCATTTAATCACCTGCTTTTGTAAAACTTAAAGTCGCAGATTCCAAGGACCTATTGATAAGTGAAAACTTACTGTACATCTTATAAAAATCAGAAAATACTAAGAAGCAATAATTTTAATATCTTAATTTACCTTTTCCCATGAATGTTCACATATGCAATACTTATCTTAAAAGTATCAGATGTTAATAACTTTCAATTATTGTAGATGTCTGAAATTGCACAACTTAATTTTAAGTACTATAGGGAAGTTAGATAAAAATTGCCCATGAAGATAATTATAGTCTAGTGGATTATGGTTGAACAAATACATGGCAATATGAAGGCCAGTATAGTGGCTAAATTATGTTTCATATACTAAACACTTAAGAGGAAATTAAAATTAGCCTTTAAGATTAACTGGAGGGGAGTACCGTGGAGGGGAGTACTATGGAGGGAGTACCTTAAGTACTCAGCATGTAATATAAACACACTAAGTCATAGTTGTTTTCATCCACAGCCTCACTTCAAGTTTTTACAGTAGATGCCTAGGAATATTGATTCCATTTGCACAAAAAGTTGAGCAGAAAATCTGTTACTATTTCAGGAACAACTTTAAGATGCTTAACTGTTATCCAGGTGGAGAGCTGTTTCCTCCAACTTTTCATATAGTGAGTCAAAATAGCTTTGAAAACCATCTACTTGCAAACACTAAGTGTATTTTTTTTTTCTTCAAGATTTATTTATGCATACAAGAACTGGGATACAGGCCAGAGGTGCGGGGGTGAGAGGATTCACCAGAGACAGGTTGGGGAGCAGAACAGCCAGATTGGCCAAAATACGCTGCTGAGGGGCGCAATGGTCAAGACAAGAGAAGTCTGTTGTTCCATGTGGGTCCCGTCCCTGGCTGGGGATTAAATTCATGCTTCAGTGACTGTGGATAGCTTCGTAGTGCTGTGTGCAACTTAACACCACCAGAGAGGCCCCTAAGTGAGTTTTTCAAAAGAACAGTTGGACAGTAATTGGTTTTATTTCACAATGTCCTATGCCAACTAAAGTCTACATTAAATACTGTGGCAAAAATACAAATCTGCTGACCCTCCCTAGTGGCGCAGCGGGTTAAAGCACTGCACTAAGAAGCTAAAGCCACTTCTGCATAAGTTTGATTCCCGCCTGCCCCTGGAGGCGACCACATGGCGTGGCAGACCTCTCCTGACCCGCCCGCTGCTCCCCTCAGCAGTGTCCTTCATCGATCTGCCTGTTCTGCTCCCCACTCTGTCTCTGGTGAATTCTCTCACCCTCCGCATCTCTGGCCTGTAACCCAGTTCTGTACAAATGAATAAATAAATCTTAAAAAAAAAAAAATACAAATCTGCACTTGTGAATGAGTGAGAAAACAGAATATATTTGTGAGTTTTTTTTTGCCGAGAGTTTAAAAAATATATCTTTGAAATTCTGGCATTTGTTATTCTAGAATTGTCTCATGGCTTAATAGTTGGGAAATAATAAAAGCAAAATGTGTGTGTGAGAAAATATGTATGTTAGAGGGGAATTTGGTTATTTTTTAAAAAGATTTATTTATTTGTGCATACTAAAACTGGAGTGTGGGCCAGAGATGTAGGGAGTGAGAGGATTCACCAGAGACAGAGTAGGGAGCAGAACAGATAGATCTACTGAAATACTGCTGAGGGGAGCAGCAGGCGAGACAGGAGAGGTCTAATTTGCCATGTGGGTCAGCTCCCTGGGCTGGCTAGAACTTCTATTGCAGTGACTGCCCATAGTTCCAGTGTGCTGAGACATAATCCCTTGTGTCACCAGGGAGGCCCCTTTATTTGTTTTTTAACGGAAATTATCTCTATTTAAATATCCAAGTTCTTGAGCTGTTTTTGTTCTTCTTCTGGGTCTTGTTACTTCTGTTTAGCTTATCACTTATAAATCATGTTTCATATATATGAATAGCATTGGGAATGTGACCTTTCTCATAACCCTGTAAGCTAAGATTTTGCTTTGCCTTCTCCAGAATAAAAGTCACTAAAACATATATATCTGCTTTTCCCTAGGTAAAAATCTCTACACCAATGAATATGTAGCTATCAAACTGGTGAGTAGACTCTATATTTGTGGTAATTATATTTTGGTGTTCTCACCTCTTATATATCTTTTTTTTCCCAGGATTTAATTATAAGCATTCATAAAAATACTGATATTTTTTTCCCTTGCAAATGATCCAACATAGTAATTTTCCTTCATCTGTAGTGTTGCAATGATGAATTACTACATGTTTTATAATGCTATGTACTTACCTAAGAATGCTAAGCGTGTGTGTTATCAATGATAAATCAAGAAATACTTAATAAAAAATAACTGGAAGAAAAATTTGCTGGGAGACTTTTCTGTGAACTTTGTATCTTTCTCAGTGCCATTTTGATACAATTATTTGTAAGTTTCTTCTCAGACATGGCTGATCTGTTTTTAAAATTGAAGTATTTACTTATATACTTAGTAGAGAATCAAATGTGATCATCTAATCATTGCCTTAAAAAGTTGTGAAGAGTGAAAAATACTTCATGTGGTCAAATTTGAAGCAAAGAGTTCTACTGGTTTTGTCAGTATTAAGAATAATGAAGCTAGTCATTGAAATTAGCTTCCCATCAAGAAAAGAGAATTAACAATTACATTGTTTTTGGAGATTAATAAATCTTTAGCTTATATTTAAGGTTGATACAAAACCATTTCTAGTCATATGAAGTATCTCATATGAGTAGTTTGCCTTTTCATAATCATCATAAATTTCTTAAGATTTGTAGGTATTTTGGGACTTTATTAGTTGGTTGAAGAAGTGTCTTGTAATATTTGAATGCTGTTCTTTTCTAATGAATTACACTTAACATCCACACCTGTCTCTGTTTAGTTTTTTTTCCTCTTGTTCACCTTTTTATTTTCTAGGAGATTTAGTGCTAAAGAACTCAGTTACCAGATTGATTCTCTACAGTGAGGTAGACAGAGAAGAAGAAGGCTGTTAGGGAGTAGATAGCTACTAGGGAGCCATGTGTTTTGTTTATTGACTGCCTCCAAACTCATGTTGAAGAAATGGGAGCAGGAAAAAGTAATGCATACAACAGTGCAAGCCAAATATTTTCTAAGGTTAAATACTAAAAAGATTAACCATATTTTTTTTTATTTTCAGGAATTTGCTTTTTCTGTGAAAGTGTTCTCTAAATCATTTGCCTTTTTAGTTTTTCTGTTTTATTACTTTGGTAAATTAGAATAATCTTAGGTTATTTGGCGTTTGAAGAAGTAGCCTCTAAAAATCTTTATAAAGTATTACCTCAAAACTTTTTATTATCTCTTTATTTAGCAAAACTTCTGAGGCTTTCTATTAAGGGGTTTTCTTTTTATCTAGATTTCTCCTTTGATGGTCATACTGGTCAACCAATAATAGATATTGAGCATATTGTTATCATGACTAATCATTGCATTTCACTTAGATTTTATTATATTTTTACTTTGTACAATAATTACAGTAGTTAAATAAATAATGCTCCAGTAGTTAAAGCTAAAAGTGTACTTCTTGTCATTTAGATGGTATATCTCAATACCTCATTTCTCTTTCAAATAATCTTACGTAAAGGTATTTTAGAGATAGCTATCTTGTTTTGAACCTTCTTTCTTGCTGTGGCTATATTCTCTGTGGGAGATCTGTGAGCAATAATTGAGCCCCTTCCTTTGGATTCATACAAGGTCGCTGTCTACTGTTAGTTTAGGATTTCAGTCATGCAGGAGTGTTGCAGAATAACTGTGATCTGGCAAATAACCAGCCCTCTATGAAAATGTAATCATCATTTGGCACAGAAGTACAAGGAAGCCCTGCTTCAACCATTTGGGTTCTACTTTGGTTCTTCATTGTAGGCCCTTGTTTCTGGATTTCAAAGAACCTTTTAAAAAATATATACAGTGTAAGCAAAACAGTATTGAGGAAAACCCCTTTTTCACCCATCACTGAGTTTCTAGAAGTCTTTTGAACAGAAGTTTTCTACCTATTAAAAAACAAAACACTCCATCTTGCTAATCTTGATGGCTCCATAGCTATAGACTGAATGTTTGCAATGTTCTCTATTATAGTGCTTCCAGAGGAATGCCTTGAAGCACTCATTTGGCTGAGCAGGCTACAACTGTGTGCTAAAAGGGTTGATTAAAGATATAAATTTTTTGGTTTGTGATAAGAAGTCCCTCTTGTCCAAATATATGTGATATGTAGATCTACATTTATCCCTTTAACTCTGAAGAGGTTTTGCTTTTTTTTTTTTTTTTTTATGTTTCCCAATGTCCTTTATTTGTATAGATAGCTGATTTTTAAAAGTAGTATTTTTTTTTTGAGGTTTTGCTTTTTAAAAATCTCACAGTTAATTACTCAAGGCCAAGTTGAATATTTCTTTTTAAGATTTCCAGTATGTGGTTTGTGAGAATCCAAAGATACTTTCTAGAAAGAACATTTGTCTTTCTAGTGTTCAGGGCAACTTGCTTCCATCCTAATTTTCTTCACTGTTCTTTCTTGGTATCTTGTGAATCACTGATGAATTTGCTAAAGGTAAATTTTATAGTTGACTACTTTGATAATGATACAGTCTGAAAAGATGGAGATTTCAAGAGTGATTTGTTTTATCTGGGTTGATATGTATAAGTATAATTTTATTTACCATTGAGTACAATCTTGACAAGATTTAAATTCAACTCTGCTGATTCTACAATCAAAGAAGGGTTTGTGCCTTTTTTCAAATAGTTCCTTAGGAAGCTGAAATAGTCCGGTCTACCAAAATCTCAGATTTATATCATACATTCCTAGAAGCAGAAATATTAGCTAGATAAATTCAAGGAAAGTTCTGAATTCTTTGACTTATGGATTAATTCTGTATCTTAAGAAAAATGTAAAAAACTTCCAGTGAGTTCAGGAAGAGCCTACAAAGGTGAATTCAAAGAGCCTAATACATAGGACTGATTGGAAAGTTTAAAGGAATTGAAACTAATTTCCTATACTAAGAAATAATTGAATATTGCATACATAAGAGAAAAAGGCCTAAGTTTCAGTAGTAGGAATTTAAATAGGATATTAAGATCTTCTAAATAACGAGACTTGTTAAATTATTAAGGGAAGTTGTGGAATCTCCTTCCTTGGAGATTGTCTTAAACATAGGACAAGTAGGGGCCTCACTGGTGGCGTAGGGGTTAAGTCTCAGCGCTATCATAGCCAAAGTGTGAGTTCTAATCCACAAATGGTACAACAGACCTCTCCTGTCTCTCCTGCTGCTCCTGTTAGCAGGAGTGTTTCAGTAAATCCTCCTGTTCTGCTCCCCACTTTGCCCCTGGTGAATCCTCTCACTTCCTGCACCTCTGGCCTATACCCCAGTTCTACACAAATACAAATAAATAATAGTATTGTGTTAGGGTGAGTGGTATACTTCTAACATAGGTTCTTTGACTGAAATTCAGATTGAGAATCTGGCCCTCCCTGGTAGTGCAAGGGGTTCAGTCTCAGCACTATGAAGCTATCAGCGACCATTTCAGTTCAATCCCCAGCCAGAGAGCTGACCTACATGGTGCTGCAGACCTCTCCTGTCTCGGCCACTACTCCTCTGCCTGTTCTGCTCCTCACTCAGTTTGTCTCTGGTGAATCCTCTCATTTCCCTGGGATTATACCCCAGTTCTTGTATGCATAAATAAACAAATCTTTAAAAATAAAATATATAATCTTTTGAAAATATAGTACATATAACCATTTATTGGGGAAAGGACAATTTTTAAAAAATAAATGGTGTTGGAAAAACTATATATCTCCACCTACAACAAAGTAGAGCCACACACACACACACACACACACACACACACACACACACACACTTCCATAAATATATATGGCAAAGATATTCAGAGTGGGTCAGAGACATAAACATAAGAGCTAAAACTATAAATATCTCAGAACAAAAGAAAGCTTTGGGAAAAAATTTTGGATTTAGCATTTTGGGGGGTTATAACTAAAAATGGAACAAAAGAAAAGGTAGGTAAGTCAGAGTTAATCAAAATTTTAAACTGTGCTTCAGAGCAGTGAAAAGGCAACCCACGAAACCGGAGAGAATATTTGAAATTCGTATATCTGATAATGAGTTGGTATCTGGGATTTACCATTTTTAAGTCTACTTAAGTAACTAGCATTAAGTACATTCACATTATTACACAACCATCACCCATCTCCAGAACTTTTTCATCTTTCCCAACTGATATTCTGTGCCAATGAAGCACAAACTCTCCTTTTCCCATTACCTGATGTGTGCTGGCAGCTTTCTTTCTGAATTTGACTACTCCAGGTACCTCTTATAAATAGAATTATGTGGTGTTTGTTCTCAGTCATGGCTATTCTGTTTTTGAGAATAACTGTGATGATGACTGTGCAAATATATCTTTCAGGGATATGTTTGATTTTCTTGTCTGTTAGTTGCCAGGTATATTGTCAGTTCAAAATAATTAACTGGCCAATTCTCAGAGTTTGACATAGAGCAAAATGTGATAGTTTGCCCCTTTGGTCCTTTGGGATCTTTAGAAAACAGTTCTTGGAAACCTGAATACCATATAGAAAAAAAGTTATGTTTTAATTGTATTTACTATCTTAATTCTCTTGTGTAAGAATAAATACACAAAATATTCTGAAAAGCATTATTCATAATTGTGCAAACTGAAAACAGTTCAGATGTACAAAAATCATGGTGTGTGTGTGTACATCCATCCATCCATACATACATGGAAATTTTACAGTCACTGAAAATAACATATACCTGTACTTTTCATGGAACAATTTCATTATTAAAAACAGAACAGCAAATAGAGTATGATCTTATTTATTTAAAATACATTTTAAATTTGTATTGCATATAAATACATATGTGTAAATGAATACTTGGAAGAACATTCACCATAATGTTAATTTAATAATGCCTCTTTTAAATTGATAGATGGTCAAATTATTTTCACTTTATAATTTCCATATTTTTTGAGAAAATAACATTTTTCTAAAATTAATAAAGCTATTTACTACATAAATTAATATTAAAACAGGTAGGAAATACATGCTAGAATTTAGTGAAAAACAAAGATTTTGCAACTGGATTCCTAGGAGACTGCTTGGTAAGGGAACTAACGTTGAATTATGGCTCATGCAAATTATTTTTATTTAAATATCCTTGTCATCTTCTTTTAGCTGTGCTTTGTAAGAGAAATTGTGGTAAGAAAATACTATCACCTTTGAATATCATCTCTAAAACATTAAGCAATCTTAGTCCTGGTTTACTCTGAAACCTGGGAATGGAAAATACTATTTGTCTAAATCTGATCACAATTTCTCTTCTTGGGTTTCAGGAACCAATAAAATCACGTGCGCCACAGCTTCATTTAGAGTACAGGTTTTATAAACAGCTCGGCAGTGCAGGTAAGTCAAGTCTGTTTTCTCCATTTACTTAAAATATAGCTTCTAGAAGCCCTAAAATGTGCAGATTTTCTTGTCTACTTTACTCTTTACCAGACCATATTTCTCTCCTGCTTGTTGCTAGGTAAATAAACCATAGTCAACTTAAAAATCCAATTGTTCTCTCACTTCTGGAGGAGGAGTTTTTAAAATTTTTATATTTAAATTTATTATTTTCTTATATTGCTGCTCATTTTTGTAAAATATTTGATTTTTCCCCTCAGGTTCTCCCACCAGCATAGCACCCTGACCCATCATCATAGCCCCTTATGCTCACCCCTCCCCTGTTTTGGCCCCTTTCCCTTTCTTTCTCCTGCTGGATGTCTCACATCTATGTTCAGCTTGCAAGTTTTGTCTTTTTCTAGACACTATGATCTGCTTGAGTAGGCAGTTTTCTTAATTGGGGGGAGGGCCTGTGATGTCATGACCTTACTCCCTGACTAGCCTTTGAATTATTTCACACATCTGAATACATAAGATTTGGGCTTTTGCTTTTTTTGTAATTTATTCATACTCATTTTTATTTTATTTTTTGTCTGTATCAAAAGAAAGGAAAAGGATTTGCAGGCTTTATTTTACCAAATTGAAACTATATAGTCTGTTTTAAAGATATACAAAAACAAACATTTCAAAATATCCTACTATTATAATTTTGTACATTTCTCTCATCAGTTTGCAAGTCCTATTCAAATGATCATAATAAGCTACGATGTTTGAATATTCTTTACAATTAAGTTTATTAAATGTTTATTTTTTTACTTAAAAGTTCTAATTTCTTAAAATTTAGACTTCCAAAAAAATACCTTGACTAAACAGATGTTACAAGTTCTAAAGAGACTGTACCTATAGGATACCGCTCAAAAAATGAACTCTTGCATTACTTTTTTCATTAATTGACATTAGTAGACATTTCTCCACCTTATGGTTTCTCCATTGTGAAGGTGTTTTACATGAATATCTGAAAGTTAGTTTGTATTTCAAGTATCACTATTGAAGGTACTATTGAATTTCACTTTCTAGAGTATACAGAATTATTTAGGAACCACTGGGTGTTATTCAAGCCTCTTTGTGCCCAGACCATGACAGTAATCAACTATAATCATAACAGGGAGTCCAGGATGGGCATTTGTCTTTCATTGCACTAACATGAGTTTTTGCTCACAGTATCCTCTCATTATTATGTCTTCAATGATTGTGTCAATAAATATGCATTCACTGGTGTAAGATTTAAAATTGGCAAATATGAGTTCATAGGACATATATTGAACTTGAGACTTGTGTTTCCACAACTAAACTTTAAAGTTGGCTATTATGTTGTTCTTGGTTTCATAAATTTCAAATTGATAATGATCACAGCAGACTTAGGATAAACATGTTTATACATGTCTCACAAATCTGTAGTACAAGTAAAAACATCTACAGTTAGCCCAGCTTAGAAGTTGAGTGGGCCTAGGGAAAACCAGGCCAGTTTACAAGATTTCCTCTGTAAACCCTTCTACATAAATGCATCAGATCCACTGGCCCATCTTCACTGTTTAATCTCATGAACCTATTTAGGAATAAAAACTGTGCTGCTGGGTTTGTATTCTCCCCCAATATAGGACATCTTTGAAGATTCTCCATACACTGTAAACAAGGATTAAATAAGGAGAATGTGGCAAGTAAGGGTACAAAAGCAGTTGCCTCTCTCTTAAGCCATCAAGGGAAAAATGGGCTAGAGTGCCCATTACAGTCACTGGGAATAGGAGGGATCTGTTGTAGTAGTCAGGCCAGCTACAGGGTCTTAGTCAGAGTTAGGCGGACCCTGTACCTCTTCTTACAGTCATCTAAAACTCAGAATCTTCTGTGTCTTACCAAAAGTTCAGTAGTAATTCCTGACCTCTTTCTTGCTTTTGGTGATTGTCTCCTTCTCTAAAAGTAGCTCTTGATTCATAGGTGTCTCTTACTGCTCTTTCCTACAACTAACAAGATAACCATAAGCTTTTCCAAGATAGGAGGAACTTTGGACATCTGTTACAAATTTTTACCCCATGTAAAAATTGTATCTCAAGTTTTTTTTTTTAACAGATGGCCAACCATTTATGCCTGACTACTAATCATTTAGTTTACTACTCTTGAAGGTAATTCAGGCTTAGAAAGCCCAAAGTACTTGGAAGTTCTTCCTATTGGTTTAAAATTTTGCCCTTTTGTATTTTCATGCAGTTCAGAAGCATTCATCACAACTGTTAATATGTTGTTCTCTCCATACTCAGTGTCCAAATTATCTTTTGAGCTATACATCTTCAATTCCATCAGTCTTTTTGCATAACATGATTTATAGATACTTCATTGTGATTGCCCCAGCAGCAAGCATCATTGTGTGTGTATGCACATACTTCCTAGTTTTGTGATGTTCCTTTTAAATGAATCTCATAAACCAACACCAGCAACTGCATGTTGAGACAGTGGGGTTAGTTTCTTCCTTGGTCTGGACATAGTATTTCTAGTAATCTACATTGGCTGTTTTAACAGCCATTTAATAGAGTTAGCTGATTATGCTTGTATAGAGTTTTACTTGAATAGACACCAAACATCTTTGTTATATATAAGCTGCCATCAACCAAGGTTTTCTCTATTTTGTAGTTATATAATTGATTTTTGAGCATCTAAATCTCTTAAATGTCATCTTATGCCATTACTACTAAATATTGAGATACTTCCTCAATACTGATTCTGTCATTGAGTATGTATGGACTATACTTTAACCCATAGATATAGCCCTCATAAAACTGTAACATATTCTTGAAAACAAGACTTTCTTTACCCTTATCTCAAGTGTATCTCTAGGTCTGACATAGTCAGTGTGTAGTAGGCACTTGGAGAGTATTTTGGTAACAGAAGTTAGGAAGATTTGATAAACATGCCTTTTTATAAATTTGTGCAAGTAAAAATTAATAAAACTATTAATTGTGGGTGGCCAGAAAAGAGAACTTATTTTCAAAGTAGTTTAGTTGGCAAGAAAGTAGACAAGATTTCACCATGTCTCATTATAAATGTGAGTGTGAACACTAGATCGTGTTCTTAACTTGCAAGCATGAACATTTTGCTCCCTGTTTTTCCACAGTGAGTTCCCAGCTATAAATGTGACTCATTAGTAGTTCATGTTTGAGCAACCAGAGCACATATGCTACTGTCTTCAGAACCAAGGTGATGTTGTGGCATTGTAAATAAACAGCCTTCATGCCAGTGGCATACAGTCACCAAAATAATACAATCAGTATTTTTACTCACTATTGCTTTGTCACTCTTCATCAACACCAGTGATATGCAAAATATTTGGATATCATGACAAGGGTACTTTAAAAATAAAGCTTATTCTGACATAAGTTTGTTCAAGGATTTAATTATAAAATTAATGAACAGAATTTCTTTGGAAGAAAGGATTATGAATCTGAAGGAGAGTATTGTTGCTGTAATGACTGTTACCAGAACTTGAGACTTTAAATTCCTAAAATAGGACTTTTTTTGTTGGCTTGCAGGTGTGACCATTTCTTCCTTAAGTATCCCTTATCTTAATCATTGTTTCGGATTTTGAATTTAGAAATTCGTATAGTCCTCTACTTGTGAAGATAGGACAGAAATGGCAGCACTGAATGATTATCAACCTAGGTCAAGTTGGAACTTTCTTTTCCTTTTTGCTCTTTATCTCTTTCCTTCCCCTTCCACTCTCTCCTATAAGAGGCAGTCAAACTTCCATTTGCTAAATATAGCTTTCCTATCAAGAATTTTAAGACCTGATTATTTATCATGAAGGTTAATATCTCTGAGATAATTATGAAACAAAATAAAAGTGGCCTTGAAAGTGTTGAAACTGAGGATCAGGACCTTGATCCTGGCATATCTATCAACATAGCAAATATCTATCATTTTGAAAAAAATGAAGAGCCACTCATCACCCTAAGTCCACTGCATTTCACTTGACTATATATATATATTTATTTCCATATGCAGATATATATCATAATCTCAGTTCACATATAACTGCATGTCTTTCATTTATCATTATGACATTTGTCATGATCATGTGGAATCATGTTTCTAATACTTGTATGATTTCCCATTACCTTCATAGACCACAAGTTAGGCACCCATTTTGTGTTCTCAAACATTTATATTATTTTATTTGAAGACATTCTTTTCCCCTAATGGTCTCTGTTAACTTGAGTATTATAACTCAAAATTTTTCTGTCATATTTTCTTCCATTTACTCCCCATATGGTATGATGGCCATTTTTATAGGCTTCAAGCACCATTAAGTGATAATTTAGGTTTATTCCAAATAATTTCAAAATAAGTTATTGAAATAAATTGCAGGAAGAGAAAATATTAGAGGAAGATACATTTTGACTTTGTATAACAATTAGAATAGTGTAAAAGTAATATAAATATTCATTAATGTGGAATTAGATAAATGATGATGTATTTAAGCCATAGTATTAACTATTAAAAGAAGATAGCCGTGTGTACTAAAATGGAATGATGCCCTAATAACATGTATATATTTTCTAAATTTATTTTCTTCTATTATTGTTAATTTTTGGACAGTATTTGGTTCCCCCGGTCAGGTGTAGTCCTCATAGTTTTCCCACTACCATAGCACCCATGATCAATCTCCACTGTCACTTGTGCTCTTCCCTCCCCCATTTTTACCCTTCTCCCTCTGACTCCTCTGCTGTATGCTTCAGATCTACAGGCAGCTTGCAGGTTTTGTCTTTTTCCTGACCTTTTGTTGCTTCATAAACTTTTAAGTGAAAGGGTTTACAAAATACTATAGCATTGTCCTATTACAACAAGGAAAAAAATGCATAATACATGTCCTATGAGCATAGAATATATTAGAGTGAATATACAAAAATTTAATAATGATTACCTTTTAGAAAAATATTGATAGCAACAGGAAACAATGGCATTTTTGTTTTTACTTT